GTATCTTAGTAGTCACCATCGTCAAGCTAGTACTGGATTGTTGTTCGACTCTGTGAAACGCAGATTTAAGGATTCCCGCACCATTTATACTGTAGGTGATATCATCAAAGATGTGCGACAAAATTTTGGTGTGACCATAAGCTACTCAAAAGCTTGGAGAAGCCGAGAGTTAGCTTTAAAGATAATTAGAGGGTCTGCAAAAGAGTCATATGCTATTCTCCCTTCCTATTGTTATGAATTGGAGCGTACAAATCCTGGAACTTTGACATACATTGAGACTGATGCAGCCAACCACTTTTTATATTTTTTTATGTCAATTGGTGCATGCATAAGAGGATTTAAGTCCTCAATGCGTCCTGTGATTGCTGTTGATGCTACCCATTTGAAGTGCAAGTACAAAGGTGTTTTGTTTGTTGCCACTGCATTTGACGGAAATCGTAATATATATCCTCTTGCCTTTGGGATTGGAGATTTGGAGACGGATGCAGCTTGGGAGTGGTTTTTCACAAAACTACATTGTGCAATTGGTGATTGCTCGAATCTCGTTGTCATATCTGATCGAAATCTTAGCATAGAAAATGGGTTGAAAAGAGTTTTTCCTGAGGCAGCACATGGTATTTGCTTTTATCACTTGAAGGACAATATGAAAGCCTCATTTAAGTTGAAGAAGTGGGATCCGATATTGGGGTTTTTTGTGCGGGCAGCCAAGTCTTACCGTCTAGCAGAGTTCAATCGGTATTTCTCCATGATAAACAATGAGCGAGTGCAAACTTATCTAGTACGTGCAGGGCTCCATAAGTGGTCTCGAGCCCATTGTGACAGACGACGATATAATGTCATGACAACTAATATTGCAGAGTCCATTAATTCAGTTCTTCGTTTTGCAAGGATGCTTCCGGTGGTACATTTGATCGAAGAAATTAGGAATATGCTTCAGAATTGGTTTTATCAACGTCGAGATTTATCAATGAAATGTAAATCTATGTTGTGCCCTGATTTAGGGGAAAAGAAGTTGAGGAAGAGATTAGACGCTGCTTCAAGGATGAATGTGGTTAAAATCAATGATGTGGAGTATAATGTGCTTGATGGTGATATGAACGGTCTCGTGCACTTGCAAAACCATAGTTGTACGTGTAGAAAGTTTGACTTAGAGCAACTCCCGTGCAAGCATGCTATTGTGGTAAGTCGACACTTGAAATTGAACCCATACTCATTTGCCTCTTCTAATTACACTCGAGCTACATGGGCAGCTGCATATGTGTTAAGCTCATAATTTCATACATATACATGCCATATTTACTTACTTCTTTTGCTTAGTTTATTAGATTTCTAAGTTATTTGCCTCCCTTTGTGTGTTTTGTAGGCAAATAGAGC